GGCCTTGACTCTGACATATGTGATCTAGCCCATCTCAGCTCATCTCCCTCCATTACAGCTCCAAACAGACTGGAGTGGGAGCAACAATCTACATAAATGATAAAATAAATAAATAAATAAAACAAACCTGTACAGAATGAGATAACACACAGTTCAGCAACAGTGAAAATCATCTAGCTGATCTCAGCTCATTTGTCAACGATAAAAGAATCACATGAAAGGCCGCCGCGTAGTGCGGGAAAAGAGTCAGCTCGTTCACAGGTATGCTGCGACTGTGAGGACATAACCTTGATGAAACTGTTCCATTCGCCATCAAACTGTGCAACAGTAGTTAAACATCTGACAAATATGTTAGCTAAAAGGTTATACGACATCCTGTCCTTTTGTGCAATTTTCAAACAGTAAATAAGCAGGAACTCCGTGAAAAACTTACCTCTCTCCATTACAGCTCTGAACAGACTGGAGCGGGAGGAAGTGACATCACAGACTGAGGCTATTCAAAATAAAAGACCTGTTGTATGGAGTATAATCAAACTTGTTAATGTATGGAATTAAGTCTGGATTATGGCTCTCATTATGTGAAATCAATTCTAGGCTCTACAAGATGTATCCATGTGTGTGTGAAACCAAGCTAAAGGCCTGTTACCTTCTCATATCATGTTGTGTGTGTGTGTGTGTGTGTGTGTGTGTGTGTGTGTGTGTGTGTGTGTGTGTGTGTGTGTGTGTGTGTGTGTGTGTGTGTGTGTGTGTGTGTGTGTGTGTGTGTGTGTGTGTGTCCAGGCAGCCTTCTAGCCGCCTGAACTGTGATGTCGTAAATTAGTGATGTGCCTTTACTCTGCTGATATGGTAAAATGATCCCTGTTGTGGATATAACCTGTTTTGGCCTGAACAGATGTTGGGAGGAAGCATGTATGTTATCTTTTATCCTCTGTGGAGTTGGTCAAGATGCTATAAACATATAAATAAGACATCTTGTCCAGCTAATACTGGAGATGACCATTTGATCCTGGGTAGAAGAAAAGGGAGGAGTAACCACACGTCTCCCTCTGCTGACCAGCTGGAGATGACCATTAAGACTGGGAGAAGAAAATGTGACATCATGACATCCAAGATTTATGGTCTCTTCGGTGCCATAGCCTTTTTCAATCCGGCTTTTGAGAGTTTTTAGGAGAGTTGGCCTTTGATGGGAAGAGTGTGTGAGGTACAGAGAAGGAAGCTTTTGATTTGAGCTTTTTGTCTATGATAATCTGACCTAGTGTCATTTTTGGAGAGCTTATTCAGCTCAACTCTGCTATAACTTGGTTTATTGGCAAAGAGTTGTTTCACTTTTTAACCCACTTTGTCTGTGTCACGGTCTGCCTCCATCTGCTGTGAGTTTGGTCAGCGCTGTGTTCACAGGTGGGCGTGGGACTCATCACAGCTGTGTGGAGTTCCACTAATCGGAGCTTCAAGGATTTAAGGAGCGGTGTGACTCAACTCCAGCGCCGGTTGATACTCTCATATGGGTAGCATCTAGCCTCGTAATCTGTCCTGGTTCCGTGTCCTGAGCTAATGAGTTTTCGTTCCTGTTCCAGTTTCCTGTCCTGTACCACCTACCTTGTCTGGAGTTGTCTCTCGTCTCACCGCTTAAGGATCCTCTGGTCTTCGCTCTCCTCGCCTGCCTGCCTGTCCACACTCAGCACCGTCCTCACCGCTCCAGCCTCTCCCAGTTCGCCTCCGCACAACTCCTGGTCTCAGACCGTAAGAACTCTCAGACACACAGTCAGATTCTCCTGGTTCTCTGGTTCTGGTCTCGCTTACCTCTCCTCTTACCCTTATAGATTCTGGTCCCGTCCCGTTCCTGTGTTTCAGACGCAGCGCCTTAAGTTCTAGTTTTTGTTCCTTTATTCCTGTTTTAAAATAAAACACTTATATTTTACTTACCGTTCTCTGTTGTGATTCTTCATGTCCTGGGTGAAACACATTACCCACAACATGACAGTCGGGGTTTCGTTTGGATTATTATTCTTTTTTATCTGTGTGAAATAAAACCTAGTTCCTCGGATTCGTGGAACGAAAAAAGGATTTACGAGTGGGGTCTCCTCCTGTCGGTAACCGAGCAAAGGTGAGATGCTGGTTGTAAATACCATCCCTAGGTGTAATTGATATAAGTGTTTCCTCCATCCTAGGCTACAGGTAAAGTCAGTTGTCTCCTCAGCATAAAACAAACAGCTGGCAAGATTCTTAACCTGAAGTGTACATAAGCTTCATGGACATGGATTGTTAGTAAACTGAGTCTCCCTTGAGCTGCAAAAAGTTGGTTTTGCCAGAATCAGAGTCTAGGTTACCGGTGATTGCTAATCAGCTCCTACAAGAGTGAGGGCATTTTAAAGAGTGGCTGGTGTCACGCTCACGCAAATAGAAATACAAGTCAACCCCGAGATGTAACATCTGTTGAAGAGTCAGGCTAGCTTAGGAGGATGGCTTGTAACAAGACCCAAAGAAACTTTTCTCAAAATGTCTAAAAATATACATTTAAATGAGAATCTTGAATGTTAAACAATAGTTTAGGGTAAGTAAAATAAATATATGTAATTAATAAGTAAATTAAATTAAATTAGGGATTTTTGGTGGAATGAATTGCACATTTTTCTTTCCATGCTACACAAGACTGACAGATTGGTCAGTACAGGTTTCAGAAATGGGGCTAGTGGACCAAGGTCAGCTGAACTGGACACACTGGGACTAAAAAAGAAAAACATTTGCAGACATCCAGGTTTTGACCTCATCAAGACAGTTTAGGAGAAGATTTAATGAATAAGGTAGGCCACATTTAATTGGAATATAAACCTGGGGGTCATCTGAGTGAGGTAAAGATGGAGTGTGAGATCAATGGGTGGATTGGTACTGTGTCTGCATTAATGCAGGTGTTCAACTGGTCTGTAGTGGTGAAGAGAGATTTGAGCCAGAAGGCAAAGCTCTTGATTTACCGGTCGATCTACATTCCAACCCTCATCTATGGTCATGAGCTTTGGGTAGTGACCGAAAGAACGAGATTGTGGATACAAGCGGCTGAGTTTTCTCTGCAGGGTGGCTGGGTTCTCCCTTAAGTCACTTTTAGAAAGTAATGATGCCAATTTGCCACAACGCCATTGTGGCATCAGGGAGCCTTAGGTTGTTTATAAGAGGTCAGACCATGGCGGTAATATAGTGCATTCGTGTCCCCTTTTACAAAATATTGGGTGATAGCAGTATAAAGAATAGAATAGAATTGAATAGGAGGATCTTTGTGCGCATGCACGAGTAGCTGGGTGGCAAAAACAAACACAAAATGGCCTGCTATCAATATGCGACATAAACTTTTAAGAGTGTTTGTGGGCGAAATCCCCGATATTTAACCACTTTACCATCTAAAGAAAGGATGAGGTTTAGAGAGAAGCTTAAAATCTATTTTGAAGACAAAATTAAAGTTATTAAAAGCCTGTATGAGCTCTGTGATGATGGAAAATTTTGGTCTCATTTGCCTGTTTTTTTTTCACAAATCTGCTGAGGAGAAATGTATTCTTATATAATAGAAACCCCTTTGCTCTTGACTCTTAAAAAGGGTTAGGGTTAGGGTTTGCCAACCCTAACCCTAACACAGAGGCAGATTTACCTTCCACCACAACTCAATATTTCTATGCACAACATGGTAATAGATGACCCTAAAATATGAGCCCAAGGGCTTATTGTGAACACAATATGCTGTGTTTCTGCTCAGGGCCACTGTCAACATAAAATATAATTAATGATGGACACATAATCAGTAATAACAAGCATTATTGACTGAAAAAACATGGGGGGGGGGGGGGGGGGGGATTACTTGATACAAAAACATGACAAATGTCCAGGTACAATGTTCACATATAAGGAAATGAACATACAACACAGGTTATAGCACATGAACACCACATGGTTTCAGGGCAAAGAAGGTCAGAGAGACATCTGCTGACAGTGACAGCGGTTTAATTAGGTGTAGAAGCATTTACCAGCGTAGTAAGGAGCAAAGTTAGAAACTGCACAAGTGTGACAAGGTTTCAGCAAAGTTAAAGGGAGCTGTCAGATTTTTCAGATCATGCACTGATTTATTTTAACTGGATGATTTGTTGTCTGTCCAGTCATTGGATGACTATCAGTCCTTGCGTGATGCAACACTTCGGCCTGTGGGGCTTTAAACATCCAGAAGCAAAGAACTGCTGTAGGTTGACATTTGCGATGATTTCACTTCCTCTAACAATGATCCAGAGCTGTGTGCTGCTTCTTGCTGTTAACAAGTAAATCAAAATAGAATCTGAAGACTCCCAGTTGCTCCATTTTGAATCTGAGCAAAACCAGATGATTGGGATTGCATTTTCTTACCTTGTATTTATAGATAACCTTCATCTTGGTTTTGTGTTGTATACACAGAGGCACTCCTTCCAGAGCAGAACTCTAGGAGCCTATAAAACTACCCTTGTCAAACAGCAATATCTCACTGGTGCAGTTTTTCACCCATTCCTCTCCAATTGACTCGTTTGGAAATGTACTCTTGTTCCTGAATTGGATCAGGAATTTAACGTTTCATTCTTGAAGCCTTTGAGATTTTAGACATAGGCAGTAAGGTCAGTTGTTTCATATTTTTTTAATTGGTTTCTTCACATGTCCTACAAAGCTGAATTATGATTTCATGTAAGATTTATTTGAAAAGATCCACTTTAAACTTTTTAATTTGTCATTATTGATCATTTTCTCTTCAAGATGTATCTCCCTTCATTGGTGCTGAGTTTGGTGGCTTTGGTGAACTGCTGTGAGTAATTACTCTTATTTTAACATCTATTGGCTCTAACTGTAAAACTTTCTTTCCATCAGAATTGTAAGATTGCAATAAAATAACCAATTTGACTAACTACATGTTGACTCGTTAAGAACCCAAAATATTTTTTTGGGATCTAAATAAACTGTTAAATGTTTTTCTTCTCTTATAGCTGACTGGTGCTACAATGGGTGTGGTGAGTAATGATCAGAGGACCAATTGAACTACTGTGAGTTTGCATTAAGAGCGTCTACATTCTTTACAGCTAACACCCCATCCTCATGGAAGAACTTGCCGGAATCCAGCTGTGGAAAAAAACACCAGTCTCCTATTAATATTGTCACTAGGAGCGTCGTAACGGACCATCTGCTGCCCAATTTCACCTTTGTCAACTTCTCCTCTGAAAACACCATCAAGTCCATCACAAACAATGGACACACAGGTACACAGAAGACAGGTGTTCAGGCAATAACAAACAACATAAAACATGTCAACATGCTTGGTTTTGTAACTGTTTTATGTAGTGCAATGCACACTGGTGGAAAATGAAGTTGAAGTGAGTGGAGGAGGACTAAACGGAACGTATTCTGTAGTTCAGTTTCATTTTCACTGGGGTGATAAAGATTATCATCAAGGTTCAGAGCACTCAATTGATGGCTACAGATATCAGATGGAGGTAAGGTGTGGTACTCAAATTCTCAGTTTAAGTCTTGCTGGAGTTAGCTTAATCCCTGTGCTGTCCTGTTTTATAGATGCACATTGTCTCTGTGAAGAAAGGTCTTTCTGTAGACGAAGCCACAACACAAGCCGACGGATTTGCTGTTTTTGGGTTTTTCATTAATGTATGTCACACACTTTCTGCAACTTGCTCCTGTTAAGTGTTTAAGTCTCATGTTAATGGTGCTCTGAAAAACAATGAAGGATCATTTCTAATTTAGCTTTTTATCATTTACTAAAGGGACAACTCTGAACCCTGGTTCTACATGATAAAGTAGTTTAAAATAAGTTAATGCTTGTAAGACTCTGTTTAACCTGCACAGCTGCATGCAGGTCCTGCTTTATGAGTCATACCCTTCTTTGAAATATGCTCAGGTGTTTTGCTCATATCTCGCTTCCTACACACCCACTTTTGTTAACAGTCAATGCAAACCACTTTTGCATAAGTTCGCTGAGCCATGGCACGGTGGCAAGGTGAGGTGCTTGTGAGCGTGATGTAAGCACAGAAAACACTTAGCCTTCCAACAGCAGCGTATTGTTGCAGCGGTGGGCTGTTGAGCCGTTGAGTGATCACAGCGGATTGAAAAATTAAACATTAAGTGGTTAGATGGAGGCAAAGAGGAAGATAGCAATAATCATGCATTATGGTGCTCGGGAATTACTGAGGTATTTCAAATGTAAGGGAAACACCTAATGAAAATGTTTAATTTGACCCAAAGAGGCCTTGGGTAGGAAATGCCATTCATTGCATCCTTACAAATATCATACCTGTCTGGAAATTCCCACTGAAACGGGCTGAATCCCAACAAAGTTTCAAGTTTTCAATTGTAAAATGTGTTCTTGAACCTCTGTGTACAAAAAAGCAAAAACAGTAGCAAGCCCATAGGTTTGCTCTGTAAGAGTCTTTATATGATCACATTTTTATGATCCAGTTTGAACACTTTAAAAGTGGTTCTTCACTTAATTCATTCACTGCCAGCCATTTCCTGATCAGTAAAGCCCTTCGCTGCCAGTGTTTCTCAGTGTTTTTACTGTTTTTTTAAGAGTCACAGAACGTTGCGTGCTAGAATGATGTCAACGCCAAACTACCAAAACAAAAAGTACATCATGAAGAGTCTGTGCATTTCCAGCTTTATCCTTTCTTTCATAATCCGTTGTCGAATTGTGATCAGCAGAAGCTTTTCCGGTTCGCGCCCCACTTATTTTACAGCAGCGGCCCAATATGATCTCCTAACACATGGATTTTCTGCTTCCTGATCATGTGACGTGTGACGTACACAGATGGAGATCGGCGTTAGAGCTGAGATGTTTGTTCTCACGGTACGGGGGCTCGTTCCGATGCCCACACAGTAAAAAAAAAATACACCTGACAACTTTAGTTGTCATTGGCAGTGAATGAGTTAAAAAAACATTTTTCATTATTTCTGATTATAATTGGTCACTGAGTTTTTCATGCAGGCTCAAAATAAAAATATTCTCCTACACCTATCTCCTGCATCAGCTTCTGATAGAAAATAGACAGTGAAAATCTAGGATTTGAAAAGCCTGACAGATCTGCGTCACACTGTCACTTAACATTCAGATGGGGAAGGCTGTTGTTGGTTTAGTTAAACAGCAGAGAACGTCTAGTAGAAGCTAACCATTAGCATTAGCAATTCTACCATGCGGCAAACCTCCTTCTTATTTGTGTATTTGTGAAGGTAAAACATCAATGTTAAAAAGCAAACAGAGTCAGTGGTAGAGCTGTTTTGCTGTTGGCCATTCCAAGGTAAGATGTCGAAATATCAGGAAATAGGACTATAAATCCTGCCGTTGTTCTGTCACTTTCAACTTTGACTGAATTCTCTGTCCTGAAACAGGCACATTCATTCCTACTAAACACCACTGTATAGAGGAACAAAAATTAATAAAGAAAATGTGCAGGATGTAAAACCGACTGCTCAGTCAAAATAAAGAATAAAATCGTCTTTTCTATCAACACACAATTCCTTCTTCTAAATGTCTGTGCAGTGATCTTTCAATGCATCTAATGAACTGTATTTGACAGCAAGATTAATTTTTTTGTTGGTGAAGGCAACAGAAGATGGAGTTCTTTCTGGACCATGGTATACACTCACAGCTAACCTGACAAACATCACAGGTAAGATCTGGTTTGCTGATGCATCGAAAATCTATAATTTTCTTGTTTTAATTACAGTGGGAAACATAAGTACTTGACACGTCAGCATTTTAATCAGTAAGGGTATTTCTAAAGCCCTTTTAAGAAGACACACCATAATGACAAATATGCATAAATCTGCCGCCACGATGTGTCTTATAAAGTCGCCGTGTCAGTGGCATTCGTAATATAATGAATAATGGGTATCCTTAATACTGGTTCCGTTCACTGGTTCACAAGTCCTTTTATTAAACACAACACAATGCCTCGGGGGGTAGACTACTGACGGTTGTGAGTGGGGCCCCTTGGAGGTCTTGGCGGTAGCCATGGGTCACTGCCCGGCAGGTGCATTGCCCCTGGGCGGGACTGGGTGGGGGCCTGGGGGCTCGGGGTGTATGGGTGGCCGGCCCCGTGGGGGAAGTCCAGGAGGGGGAGGACCCAACCTTCCCTGGATGTCCTATGTCTTTTATAACCCGGAAGTTGTGCAAATGCAGGGATGGGCGTAGATATTCTGCTGGGGTGGGGCTGGGTTGGTGCCCTCGGACTCTGTGAGGCTCTGTGATGCTGCTGCTTTGGGCCCTGGCAGGATGGGCTGGGATCTCCATGCTCTGGGTGGCATTTTGACAACAGAGGTGCCTATTGGGGCCAGTGGGGGAGCTGGCTCCCTGGAGGGCTAAGCCCAACCAGCCATTCCTCCCCATCCCCACACATTTCTCTCCTCCTGCTCCCTCACATCATCACACAAACATGCACATAGGACCTTGAGGGGTGGACAAGTCAGGGAGTGCGGGTATGGACCCCATTTCCGCATTCCTGTGGCAACCTGCTCCCCAATTTTATTTGCACCTTAAACACTTCCACCAATGACATTCCACGCAAACACACACTTAGGGCCTTGGGAGTGAGCACATCCAACGGCATTTGGCAGGGAGATTTCTCAGCCTCATCCCAAGTGCCAGTGCCCACTTCCAATTTTAAACTGCACTTAGACACTGAGGGCTGTGGGTGCAAGTGGGGTGGTGTGGTGGCAGCTGACATAGGCCAGACGATGCCCGCACTGCCCGCTCACCACAGCCATGGAATACACCTCATCAACACTCACTAACACCATATTGGAGCAGGCGGAGGGAGACTAGGGGTCCTAGCACACCTCTGTTGTCTCTTGGCTTCCTGGGGCTGGAGGCTAGGAGGGAGATCTGGCCGTCCGGTTGGGGTCAGGGGTGGTGGGTTGCTGTGCTCAGCGTTGGGCGGGGGAACCTGCTCATCAGCAACCCAGCAGAAAGGGTCCAACTCTGGGAACCAGTAATGGTTGTACCCCATGTGCAGCAGTATCGGGACCAGAGTGAATAGGGTGTGTATGGGGAGCATGAGTGGGTGTCCGGCGTGCATTTTTTTAAGTCTTTGGTTGTATGTGTATGTGTGAGCATGAGGGAGGGAGTGTGTGACTGTGTTTGTGTATGACTGTATATGTCAGGTGGGGGCCTTTGACTCCTCCCTTCTCCTGGGACTTCTTTTGATGATATAGATCTTCATCTCCCCTCTCCCTGCCACACCTGGTGTGGAGTGCGGTGCCTTGGTCTGCCTGGGTCGTGGCTCCCGGGTCAGGGAGTTTAAGATTTTTGGCATCTGCCTGACCAATCCCAGTGGCTGCCTGGTGGGGTCTGGGTCCCTGGGCTCTGCTAGGTCCCCGGCGGGGGGTGGTCGCCCCTGGGTCTCGGGTCATTGGGTCCCGGGCTTGGCCGGCTAGGGGGTGGGAGGCTGCGGGCGGGCCTGTGGGCTTGCCGCCGATATCTCCCGGGACTCTGCCGGCTGCTGGTTTTGGCCCCATGGGACGATCCTCTGCGCCTCTTGAGGGGGGCGGGAGCTTTTCTGGTCGCAGTCTCCCTGGGGTTCCTGTGCTCCGGGGCAGCTCCTGGATCTCTGGGACTTGGAGCTCCCTTCGTCTCCTGCACATCTTTAGGGGGCAGATCTGTGGCCCCTCACACTCTCTATTGGATGCTCCTATAGAGAAACCTTACATAAACAAGCGCGTGTACACACACAGGTGCTCACATGGTGCTCTCATAAGTATGGACTTGGGCACGTTCAACATATGTCTTAAGGCTATGGTGGGCACTTAATGCACTGTGATTTATTATTGTGTGATTGTTCAGTTAAACAACGTTGATTATATATTTCTTCATCAAGTTGACGCAGTGATAGCTTGATCTTGTTGTATTGTTTTTGTGTCCCATTTTTTCTCTCTTTCTGCAGATGTAGAAGCAGACTCTTGTTCATTATTGTTTATTTTTGTGGAACACCCCCCCCCCCCCCCCCCATGTCCCCTGTTGCCAGAATATTCCACTTGCAACATCACAGCTACCTGTCCAGACTGCTGGGACTTAGAAAAAAAACTGAGCTGACCTACCTGGTTGCTGCTGTCTGTCATCAGCATGTTTCCTGCATGTTTTAGATCATGGACACAGCTGATTTGTTTAATTTAGTGATCGGTCACTTCTCTAGACACTCAGGAATGCTGGGAGATGTTTCAGCTGTTGGATTAAGGTGTTAAAAAGATGAACGCACAGCAAGGATATGTTTTGGTTTTGCTTGTACGAGGGCACTAAAAGCAAGCAAAACTGCCTTTAATCCCTTTAAGCAATGCACTGAACCACCATGGCATCTATGCACACTCGCCACGCAAGGCTCTATCGCTGAGCAAAATCGTGTTGAGGCTTGCTTAAAATTTGCCAAACAGCATTTGGAGAGGCCTGTGGATTGTTGTATGGTCAGACGATACCAAAATTTAACTTTTTGGCTGTCATTCTACACAGAAGAAGTGGCACTGCCCCTACCCCAAGAACACCATAACAATATTTAAGTTTACGGGTGGAAGCATCATGGTTTGGACTGCTTTTCAGCACGGAGTACTGACAGACTTCATTTTAATGAAGGCAGGATGAATGGAGAAATGTACCAGGACATTCTGGATTAAGATCTGCTGCCATCTACCAGAAAGCTGAAAATCAAAAGACATTTCAGCAAACACAAGGCCAAGGAATCAATGAATTGGTTTCAAAGAAAGAAATTCAAGTTGCTTGAAAGGCCCAGTCAATCACCTGACCTAAATCCCAAGAAAATCTAAGGATAGAACTAAAGATCAAAGTTCATAAGAGACCCAAAGAACCATCAGGGTTTAAAGAGCACTTGAGTGGCCAGAACCACTCCTGAGCAATGCAGACGACTGGTCTCTCCCTACTAGAGGCATCCAGAAGTTGTAATTCCCAACAAAAACTTTTCTACAAAGTATTAACTAAAGCGTGTTCAATACTTATTCCCTGTGTCATTTCACTTTAATATGTGTATGTAAATGTTCTGATTTCATTCAATATGGCAACATCCGGTGCAAATTATGTGTCAATAGCCCACTTAGAAAACCCCTTATTGATGAAAATACTGATGTCAAATACTTATTTTCCTCACTGTTGGACAGCCTGGAAACTGCTATTTTTGAAGTCAAAGGTCTGATATATTCTCACAACCATGTAGGATGCACTGTTGATGAAAGCTGGAACATTTTGCCCGCAATCTCACACAGTTTCAGCAGTTTTCTTATGAATCCGAAAAGTTTTGTTTAATTCCTGTAGCTTTTGGGAGTGTCTTCCATTTTATGGGCAGCTCACATTTTTTGTAGATGTTGAACAAATTGGAAGAAAGTGAGACAACACAAATCTTTAAAGTGCGGAACAATGAAAAAACATTTTTTTAATGATCATTTCTGATTATCATCGGTCACTCTGAGTTTTTCATGCAGGCAGAAAAATAGTCTCCTACACTCATAGAAAATGGTGAACTTTAGGGATTTAAAAAACCTGACAGATCTACGTGACACTGTCATTGTTCATGGGCTCAGCCACCATGACTCACAACGGAGAAGGCTGTTGTTGGTTTAGCGTTCAGGAAACAGCAGAGACCGTCTTGAATGGTTGAAGCTAACCATTAGCATTAGCAACTCCACCACAGAACAGAACTCCTCCAGGCTTGAGTTGTTTGTGGAGGTTAAACATCAATGCTGCAGAGCAAATGGAGCCAGTGGTAGAGTAGCGTTGCTGTTATCCAATCCAAGACGTCTAAATATCAGGAAATAAACTCCGAATCCTGCCATGTTAAGCTCTCCTCTGATGTGGCATTCTGCTAGTTCCTGAAACAAACACACACCCCATCCACCCCTACGTTTAAATTTTTTTTTTCAGTGTTCCATGTCTTTAAATGAGTGATCCACACCTTTAATGTTTTTGAATGCTTGTTTTTTTCATGTAGGGCTAAAGTATTTTCTTTTCACATGACTGTCATTTGATATGTTTAAACCTTTTCCAGGCAGTGTCTTTGATTTTGAACAAAACAACACCTTCTCCATTGATGACCTGATTGGAAACGTAGACCGGACAAAGTTCTATCGATACTACGGCTCCCTGACGACACCCAACTGCAGTGAAGCAGTCGTGTGGACAATCTTTCAAGAGCCGATTCAAGTCCCCAAAGAGCTGGTGAGAAGGAGAAAGGCCACGCTGGGTCAAAACAGAATTAAAACATCATCATTAGACTCGCCCATCCAATTATTGCACAGAAAACCCCTGTTTAAGTGTTGCTTAGTTCATGCCAGGTAAACCAGCATGTTATCTGTTGTGAGATGAATCTCCCTCAGTATGTTGCACAAGCAGCCAGTGATGCATTCAGCTGAGTGTCATCAGTTACAGCATACAAAGTGATACATCTGCTGCTGTAGAAATGTCATACCTGCTGGTGTCTGCTTTGATATTTATGTTTCAGTGTTTTATTTTCTGTTGACCGTATCTACTATCAGACTTGCTGCACACGTCACTAGTGACCCTTAACAGGAAAATGGAGATGTTCCAGTGTTGCAGAGTGACAACTCTCCTCTCTATCTTATCTACCTGTCAGAAAACAAAAACCCCAACTCGTGAGGAGCACAAGACTGCGTGTGGCATTTTTCATGACTAACCTGTTGCGTCATAAGTGCATACTGAAGTGCATGTTGGAGTGCAAATGTTCAGGGTAACAGGTTCTCATCATGTTGCCAATCAGCTCAGGGGAAGGGATGAAGGATCATTTCCTCAGATTAGTGTCATGGTTTATACTTTATCTCTGTGCTGACAGAGAAGTTCATGCTTTCAACTCTTGTTGAAAGGATTCAATGGCAAATATGTCCTTAATTAAATGCATTGGAATGTGTAAGCAATCTTTTTAAGCTGATTAATGAAACCTGTTTTGTTTTGTTCTGTTCTCAGACTCACTTGTTTAGCACAAAGGTAGAACTTATAAATACCTACAGACCAACTGAAGACCTAAATGGACGTCAGGTCACTGCCTCCCCTGCTACTCCACTACCTCCAGGTCAGTCAGAAAGTCACAAAATAAATTTAAGTCAATTTCACAGAAAAATAAAAAAATACTTATTTCTGATTATAATCTGTCACTTTCATGCAGAGTTTTTCATGCAGGCTGAACATGAAAATAGTCTCCTACACTTATCTCCTGCATTAGCTTCTGATAGAAAATAGATGGTGAAACTCAAGGATTTAAAAAGCCTGACAGATCTATGTCACACTGCCACTTAAAGAGACAATGTGTAGTTTTTATCATTCTGAAATTTCCATCAAAATGTTGTTGAAAAAGAATTAAATGATACCCAGTATTGAAAAATATTGGTGGCTTTGTATCATATAACCATAAAAAGCAGGTCTAAATTACATGGGAGTGGGTCTAAGTCTCTGGGTGACGCCATATTCGATGCCTTGTTTCCTTCTACGGGAGCCTTTGAGGACAAAATGCATTTACTGATTTGTAACAAGCGGTTACAAAACTTTCATCATTCTTAAATGTTGTTGTTTTACACATTTGCCTCTTCACTTCTTGCCAGTGATGAAAGGGAGTCCTATGTGCACTCCCCAGGACTTTTTGACCCTGATGGGCATCCATTAGTAAGGTCTTACTCGACTCAAAAATACTGCTTGCTTGCAACGACTTAGGTATCTACATCCCCCATTGCCAGGAAAAGTACACACTGTCACTTTAACATTCATTGCCTTACCTGTGACATGTGATGGAATAGGCTGTTGGTTTAGTTTCCAGGATAGAGTGGACACCACAGACATATACGTAAGTGCCCCATGGACTGGAGCTGGCGTAGCAGCGGGCTGCCATCTTGGATGGGTCTCCATTTGTCCTCAGTGCATTTATTGCTTCTGAGGGAGGTGTTTACCCAACAAAATGTACATTTTATTATGCTTTTTACACAAATCAGACATATGGTATGGCATGGTGGTTAAAATATAAACATAATTCAATAAAATAAATAAAATTTAATTAACTCTTTCACTGCCAGCCGTTTTCTGAACAAAAAGCCCTTGGCTGTCAGCTTTTTTGAGCATTTTTAGTGTTTTTTGAAGAATTACAGAATATTGTGCTCTATCACCATGTAAACATCAAAACTACAAAAAGAAAGAGTGGACTCATCTCTTACATCAGGAAAAATCAACTCGTTTCTAGCTTTTTCTGTTCTTTCACAATCTGTTGTCGAAGTGTGAGCTGCAAAAGCTTTTTCTGATTTGTGCCTCTCTTTAGGCATAGCGGCTTCTCAAAACGATCTAATACATGGATAGTCTGCTTCATGATCCCATGAAGTGTGACACATGGATGGAAATCCACTTTAAAGCCATGATGTTTACTCAATGACTTTAGTCATCAATGGTGAATGAGTGAAAATATAAATCCCAACAGGTGGGCTTGAAAAGTCACGTGATCTGCTTTGCTTTCACTGGTGCACTAGTTGCTGCAGCCATAGGCTGCACAAAAAAACCGGCCTAGGGGCTAACTCACTCCAGTTGAGTTTGGAGAGTGAGGAATCCAATATGGTGGCGACGCTGTTCTGCTCTCCAGTTCCCATGTATTCATGCCTATGGTCTCGACTAGTAGAAGCTAACTGTTAGCATTGGAAACTCCACAACAGGACATAACTCCTTCAGAATTGTTATTTGTGGAGATGAAACATCAACGTTGCAGAGCAAGCAAATTCAGAGGTGGAGTGGCATTGCTGTTATCCAATCTGAGGGGAGATGTTCAAATGTCAGGAAATAAGACTCCAAATCCCACCATGTTCAGCTCAACTCCAGTTTGGCCCACTTATAGTTCCTGAAACCAGCACACCGGAGTTTATTTTCCTCTGGGTACGATCTACAAGGCATTCATGTCTACTACCTGAGCAAATGTATTAAAAATATGAGCATATATGACTTTTAATGTTCACAGGGAAAGATCTGATGGAACGATCATTGTCATTCTGACCACAAGCTTAAAAAAAGGTAATTGTAATGTAATTAAAGCTCAATGTAAATTTAAGAGAGAAGATTTCCCTAAATCTTCAAAAATCATTAATTCATGCAAATGGCTATAGGAAAAAGTTGTTCGACAGAGAAGCCAGCTTCACCTCAATAACCTAGTCAGTCTTCTTTAGCTAATGGCAAACTGGTTCCAAGGAAACTAGAGAGGATCAAGATCAGTTTCACATTGGTTTATGAGCTGTCATTCAAAATAAACTTCATATTGTATGACTGGCTGCTTGGACAAAAGCTTTTTGGCTTCCTTTGATCAGAGAAAAATGTTGATGGTCTTTTCAGAATGATCATAGATATGTTTGAAGGCTTTTTTTTTTAGACAAAACTAACATGCCTCCAGTAAATCACCAAGGTAGCAGCATCGTATGAACTATGCTCCTTTACTATAAAATCACCAGTTATCTACAGTAAACTCTTGCTTTCCTTAAGGATCTTTATCTGAGTAAACACAAACAAATGAGGCAACTTTGAGATTTCTTTTTCTTTTGCTGTGCGTTCAAATATCCACTAACCATGCGTGTGTGGGTGTGTGTGAACATAAAGTGTTAAAATATTTATTTTGTTTTTCCACAGCTCATTCGTGGTGCTACAATTATCACTGTGGTATGTAACTTCTAAACTTAGAGATGATCAACTTAAGTGTTTTATTGTGAAAATCCATTAAAATTTAAAGGATTTTAATGATTTATTTCTTCAGACCATGATCCATCTCAATGGTTCCTTCTTCCTGAATCTCACTGTGATGGCAAAAGTCAGTCTCCTATCAACATCAACACACGCAGTGTGATGCCGGACAACAGTTTAAACTCATTCACTTTTACAAACTTCGACAACAAGCAAGCTATAAAATACATCGCCAACACGGGCCACTCAGGTTGATTCATATCGGTTTTAACACGAGAAGTCTTATATTAGCTGCAGCTCACTGTGCTTTCCTTGTCTGGTGAACTCTCAGTGGAGTGTGTGTTGAAGGACGATTTGGTAGAGGTATCCGGAGGTGGTCTGAAACACATCTATTCAACTGTTCAGTTCCACTTTCATTGGGGCACCGAAGTGCAGAACTCTCCGGGATCAGAGCACACAGTGGATTCAAACAGATACCCCATGGAGGTGGGTACACAAACTGCTCATAACCACCTAAAACTCAGTTCCTCTAACTCATCCTAAACATAATCCATGCTCTGTTTTATCTAGATGCACATAGTGAGCAAAAGGAAGAATCTCACTTTGGATGAGGCTCTTAAGACTTCTGATGGCCTGGCAGTGCTGGGATTCTTTATTGAGGTATAACATTTTAAACATTAGTCCTTCATTTATATGGCAAATGAAATTGGGCAAAAGAATACAGGGTAAAAATAATGAAGGGAAAACATCAATAATCTCAGTCTGACAACCTGACACCCATCAGGTGATGACGGTAATGTATCAGGATATCACTTTAGTCAGAGCCAAAGGCTGTGAACTTGATCTACAAATGTCCACAAGCAGAATTTTTCTTTCTGTGCAAAGTTATGCATATAATTCAGACTGTAAGCCTCACCTCACGCTACACACATTTTTGTTTCGGTTATCTGATCTCTGATGAGCTTCAAGTCACACAAAGTCTAATTCACTTCACATTTTCTTAGTTTGATGCATTAATGATTTTCAAATTAAAATAAAGACATGTGGACACAATGTGTTTTGACATGCAAATTAATAATGTAGTAGTTTAATAATAACTAACATTATCATATATGAAAGAACTCTACAGTGAAATAATCACAAAACAGTAATGTCTCAATCATGCTGGAAGAAAGGTTGTATTGAAACAGATTTGATTGTCAGCTCATTGTGGGGTTGTCAGTTTTTCTTCTTTAAATAAACAAAAGAGGGACTGTTAATCAGTGAGACATACATACATACATACATTCAGACACAATTTTTTATACGCTGCATTTGTTATTTGACAACATATGGCAAAAAGCTCCAGAGTTGTTTAAACAACTAAACCAGTTAAATAAGCAGCCCAGAAATTATTTCTTGTACCTCTTAGAAGCCACGGCATCTTTTTACTTTTCTCTATTGGGTTAGAAGGCTAGAGGCTAACGTTGAGCTAGCAATGCTAATGGTGAATCAAAAACGACCAGCAAATAGCTCAAGTTACTTTTTAAATTACCAACAACTCTGATTTTTACAGTGAAATTTTCTAATCTGCTTGTCAACTTTCTGTGTACGACTCATCTTTACTCATCATCTAGAATCTTATAGAACTGATCCGTAACCGGCAGCAGCATGAAACTCATCAGATGGGAGTAGGGGAGTCACTCGTTTGTTGTGAAACGTGGACTGCTGTACCCAAATTTGACCACATGGTGTTTTCTTACATCATGCACCTCAGTTAGTCAGACTGTGATTCTTTTTTTTTTAAACCTCTCACCGTTTTCATGTGATTCTTTTTTTATCTAATGCTCTGAACCTCTCACCGTTTATATGATTCTTTTTTATCTAATTCTCTAAACCTTTCACCGTTTTCATGTCCGTAGACTCAGCCCACATCAAGTCCGTCTGACCAGACGGCTTGGAAAAAATTAACCCAGTACTTCTCAGCTATCCGAAACATCCGTAAGCGCACACTTGCTTGTTAAAGGATGTAAAAGAAAAATCATAATGATCTACAGCATGATTATTAAGTTTTGCTCTCATGTAGGCTCACAAGTAGAAGTCAAAGAGGATATCTCCATCAACGACTTGCTGGGCAAAGTGAACCGTAACTCGTATTACCGCTACAGCGGCTCTCTCACTACTCCTCTATGTAAGGAGGCAGTGGTCTGGACCATCTTTCAAGAGACTATTAAAGTGGATGGAAACCTGGTACGTATCAGTCATAACTGTGTTTTCCAGTACGACACAGAAAATCACAGTTCTTACATAATCAGGGGCCAAACTACCATGATACGTTTTGTTTGACATTTGTGTTGTGCACACATGGATGCACATCATTTGTGAATGTTGAGTGTGAAATGAAACGGTAACCAATATTTACGATTTTGATCTTCATAATGGTGTTGATGTGTTTGTACAACAAATACAGGAGCATCAGCAGCAGCTAAAGTAACAAAAAGAGCACACGGGTGACCATCTCTGTGTTTGAAGCTATTTAATGTCTAAAAAAACTATTCACAGAGCAACATAAAACCAAAAAGGTCGTCTTAAAATATTTTTTTTAATGTTCTGCGGGTGTACAATAGCTGATGAAACTTTCAACAAGTAGGGAATTATACAGCAGGAACTAGAAATGAAAGGTTTATGCCAAACTGCTTGTAAGGAATGTGAGAATGAGGAAATTCACTTATACGATTGACAAAAGTTGAGGTATTCAGGCAGACTTTCGGCATCAGGCGCTACATTTCATCTGCTTAATGGACCCTGCAGTAAAGCATGGCAGAGGCATTGTCATGTTGGACAGCACTGAAGTTTCAGGGCAACCAAATGTGTAAATTAAGGAAAACTAACTTCAGAGTGGAAGAGTTTGAAACTTAGGAGTAGCAATCAATAAGCTTTAGATGTTGCACTTTACATTCTTCTTGCCTTCTGATAAAATTTCTAAGAATTTGTCAGGAAAAAAAAAGGTTTGAACAGCTTAAATTTACATGTTGAAAAGTGATGAGTTTAAGCTAAATGTGCAATTTCATGTGCAAGGTATTGGGAAACCTCTTAGAACTTGGATTTATGCACTGAGGATGACTTTTAACTTCTGAAACAACTGATTTTAACTGTTAAAATGGACAAAATCTGATAAGCTGTGACGGCTGTCTACTTACTGACGTCATTGGTTATATAAGTGGGGGTGGAGGTCCAGTCTTGCTTGCTGCTTTAATTGAAATAGCAGAAACAGTGATATCTTTAATCAGTATGACTTTTATCAGTTTAGAAAAGAACCATGTGACTGAAGACAGTACAGTCACGTGAAATCTACTCATCTCTGTTTTACCTCATTTAAACTTTTCATGACTTAGTTCACATAACCATGTCAGTTTTCATCCTTCTAGACTTGCAACACACTATGTAAGGAGGCAGTGGTCTGGACCGTCTTTCAAGACAGAAACATTTTGGGAGGGAAACTCGACCCCTAACCTAATGTTCTCTTTTCTTTCTACCAGATGACGATGTTTCCTAAATACACAGGATTTCATAATGTCTATCGGCCCATTCAGCCCCTTAATGCCCGAACTGTCTACACCACTAGATCTGCATCCTGCATCTCAGCACCTGTCTTACTTTATCCTTTACTTGTGTGTCTCTGTGCACATTTCTGGTGATTTGGATCAACCATGGAAAACTGTATTTTTTGGTGATCATTTTTTATTTGATGTAAGATAGTGACTTTCATAATGTAATTATTTTAAATATGTAATCTTTTATTTGTCTAACCAGGAGTGGTGTTGATGAAACAGCTATTTTGCTTTTGTGCAAACTAAACTGGATTTATTGTTCAAGAGTTCAATCAAACCAGAATAATCAGATGGTTGCTGTCAAACTTCAGTCCAAAACAGAAAATCCAGAATTGTAGAGAGAACTAGATACTTAGGCAAGAAGGATTTAATGTTAATGGAGCAGGCTTTTAAAAGAGCCATGCTGACTGAGTTGAAGGAATTAGATCCACGGTCTTTGTAAAATCCACTCATGGAGGGAACAGGAAGAGAAACCACTGAAGAATGAGAATAAACAGACCATGTAAAACTTGGACAAAAAATTAACGTGCTGCATCTCAGCCTACTAGGAATGCGGAAGTGGTGCTCAGGTCGCCAAAGAACAGGACGCTAAAAGATCACGTCAATGTTTACTAGATAAACTATGCTTTAAGAGAAGCCTTATTCTCGCCTGGATACCTGCTCGTTTACCATTTTGCACCTATGTTTTCCCGGGATTGGAGAAACATTGGATCATGAATGAGTGTTTGGCTCAGGGCCAGCCTGCTGCACATGTAAGCATAACAAAAGGTATTGTTGGTGTGTCTTGGGCGATCATGAACAAATGGAAGGACAGAAGAGTCTGGCGATCATAGGAGATGGGAACTACTGAAGAAGATCGCAGACAGAAGTGTAGCCTCTGAAAATGGTCTGTTTTTCAATCTACAGGTCACCTCTTCCGTATTGGGTCATTTGGAGACATAAGTCTTAACTGGTGCTTTAATCTGCAAGAAGATACTGTTGCTTCAAGGTCCCTCCAAGCTCACTCTTATCTAAGACTGGTTTTTATTCACAGCACAAGACGGATGAACTTTCTAAATTAAGTCATATAATGAACAATAATAGTTGAAGGATAATAATGTTTTGATTAATCTGTACTTAAATTACTGTGGTTGAAATGAATATTATTATGTTATGGTCAGTCATTTTAAATTTAACAAGTAAATCACTATCTCTGACAGCTCACACACTCAGACACGTAACAATGACAAGGTTAAGCTAATATCCTGACACATTGCTTTCTGTTCCACCAATCAGAACTCCTGTATCTGACGCAAGGCATGTTTTCTGAGGTTTGTTGGTAAAAACCCTTCTACATGTCTAATTCTTATTTGTTAGTCAATCAAAATATGACGATTATTAAAACAGGACTCACTTCACCGTGAGTCAGTTCTAGTTCTTGTCAGTTCTTGAGAAAGTTCCGGACCAGCCATCCGAAGCAAAACCTCTTTAACCCAGAGCATTTTTGACAAGCTGTCAAAAGCCTATTGCAAGATACAGCTGACTGCAAACGATTCCTTCAGAATAAACCTGAACCAACTTCAACTCCTTAAGAGTTATCCCTAACTGTGGTTGCTTCTACGGACTTCGGTACCTCTGGGGTCCCCGGACCTCAACATTCCGGATCTACCACAGGGGTCTTTTATCAGGGTACGTAGACTCAACAGATTGCGTCTTATGTGCTTTTGATGAGAACCAACTTTGTTAGTTTATAACAGTCCAAATTCACTCCCACTCAGAACTCAGTTTCTTCAGATACGAGAGGTTCTGATAACATCACATTCACACACCATCACACCTCACATTCCATCCACTCAGATCCATTCATCACAAAGTGTCCTAGTTGTCATGTTTTAATTGTTTAGAAAAAAATTTCTTGCTTTTTATAAACTTGACTCTCTTCTTGAATAAACAAAGAATTCTAAATCTTCTGGTTAAATATTCAAAGAACAATCAGATTGGATTTCCATATTTATATGGAAATTCACATCATATTGGTCAAAGTGTATGGTAGTATATCAAACTTTAAAAGCACCCAAATACATACATAATTACCCCGTTACAGAAGCAAGGTGGAAAGAAGAAGTTTAGTAGAGAAAAGTTTGAAAAAGTGGCTTGTAACTGCAGCTAGTCCAAACACAGGTGCCATCTTGTTACCGACCTGGAAGCGGATGAGTACAACGCTGGATAAAAGTGTAACTGGTGGGAAGTTGGTGAACTCTGATAAAAGCACATAGGACCACCTTTCTTCTGATGAAATTTTAGATAAATTCTGTCTTCAAGTTAAAGTGGTGCCAGTGACTACAATGGTTCATAGAATACACACGCACGCACCCACACACACTAATGATACTGAGTTCTGTTAAGGGTGGGGCTGTGAGAAAAAAAATACATGCACCATTGCGTAATGTGAAAGAATGAAAAAGATCTAGCTTTAATAATGCATGAAAAAATTGGTCTATGTAACAATTAACAAACACAATTAACATGTAATGTGTTTCAGGGCTGAATCTGCTGAGTAATGTTGTGACGCCTGAAAGAGAAACAACTCTGATGCAGGAGACACTAGACCTGTTCTGGAAAAATACATGAAGAGGCAGATGAAACACAAAAATAGTTAAAAAAAAAATAGGCTCAAAAGGTGAGAGGAAAAGTTAGCCATTGTTTTCATTGTAATTTGAGACTATATAAATAAAAAGGTATTTAAATCAGTCTGTTTAAGCTGCAAATTCTAACATTTTTTTTACAATAAAATACACAGTTTGTAATAAAGATGCATAAACTAAGTTAAGTTACAGTTAGAAAAAAATACTGAAATTGGTTTCAGGATAGTGGAAAATCAATTCCCCTCAGTGTTGATGGATTCTTTAAGTACAAATCACGTTTTCTTAGTTTGTTCTCTTTGTGCAGTTAAACGCATCTTATTTTCTAACTTTACAAACTTTCTGTGCTTATTAAAATAACCTTTGTTGACATGAGTAAATTAAATGCTTAAAAAAGTTTTATTTATTTTAAACAGAAAAGAGGTCAAATGAGAATACAGAAACCTGTGGGTGTTTACTATATCAGACCATGACCTAAGATTAGAAACTTAAAACAACTAAAAAAACGTTAATTTTGATGCAAGTATTTATTTACTTTTTGTCCTGGAAAAAACTTATTCTAAAGTAATGTATTATCACACGCAGGTTAAGGGGATGTGGCGAGAGTCCCTGTGCATTGTTAACATATTGTTTTAAAACCAGAATGAAAAAGAAAGCAGTTTTTACATTTCTCAACAGGATAAACAAGATCACGCAAAACATTCCGACTCAGTTTAACTAAGAAAGCAAAAATTTTGGAAACTTGGAGAAAAAAAAAAAAAAAAGGTTTCCTCGCAGATTCCATCAGAATGGGCTGAGCTGGTATAAAACCAGGGAGAAGGGGACCTACTGGTGATGTTAGATGCAGAAGAGGAGGAGGCACCTGAGCAGCAAAGGTAGGACTCATGAACAGCAGAAAAACCTGCTTTCACTCAGTGAAACAGGCTTTTTATTTGATGTCAACTCAACAAGCTGGCCTTTCCAAAAAAATAATTAATATATTTTAAAATCTTTAAAATTTAATTGACTTTTTCTGAATGTACTGATTTGCATTGTTTATGTGTATATTTCAGATGAACTCTCATGCAGTAATTTTAGTTGCTGTGTGTGTCCTTGTACCGGGCTCCTACTGTGAAACAGACACGATCTGTAAGACTTTCATTATTTTGGCACTTTTTTTTTTATTAAAGTGAGTATTCTTTGTGAGAATTATTTATGTGCAGGACTAATTGTGCTGCTCGTTTTACAGCATGGTGTTACAATGATGCAAACTGCAGTGAGTAGAACAATCTTGATCTTGGATCTTTTTGTTTTCTCTTACTAGTGACTCATATCTTATCTCTCCTATCTTAAGGTGCCGCTCACTGGGCCACCCTCGCTCCTCAGTACTGTAATGGGACCCGCCAGTCACCCATCAACATTGTCTCAGCAAATGCCACAGGGAACGCCAACCTGACTGCCTTCACCTTTGAGGGCTATGGCAACACCAGTGCCTTAGGTGTCATGAAAAACACTGGAAAGACAGGTATGTTGAAGGTTGATGGATCAGATTATTTCCTTACAGCTGTTCTGTATTAATAAAAATTCCAGGTCACTGGAAAGTAATGTGTTTTGTCACATAGGCAGGATGTTGGAATGCTAATTATTAACTTTCATTCTTCAGTCCTGGTTTTCACATCCTTGTGACACCTGAACAGGTGTTGCCTGGAAGGTTTGAAGCTTGTTGTAAAACGTTTTATTTCTTGTCACTCCTTCAGTCCAAGTCACCTTGAAACCAGGGATTAAAATCTCTAGTGGCAACCTACCTTCAATTTACGACACCCTTCATGTTCATTTGCACTGGGGAAACGGTACCGCTGTCCCTGGTTCTGAACACACCGTGGATGGGAAGCGTTATCCTATGGAGGTAGCTACACTTTGTTTTCTCTGACATCTAATGATCATTAACTGCCAAGAGTTGATAGGCAGGTGAAGGTTTCTCTGTGTGTGTGTGTGTGTGTGTGTGTGTGTGTGTGTGTGTGTGTGTGTGTGTGTGTGTGTGTGTAGGTGTGTGTGTGTGTGTGTGTGTGTGTGTGTGTGTGTGTGTGTGTGTGTGGCGCACACGCACATGCATGCATGAGTGTGTGTGTGTGTGTGTGTGTGTGTGTGTGTGTGTGTGTTATTTTTCTTGAACAATAGATGTTTTAATGAAAACTTAAAGAAAGTAATCATGACATGTTTATCCACCTTAGATTTGGACCCGAGTCGAGATAGTTACCACAGCTGATGCTCACTAGTCTTAGCCAAAACTAAAGCGACTAAAACTTCATGAAAACTGGACTTAACTTTGTTGTTGAGCTGAGAGTCTTTCCCATCACATAGTCATTGCATTAGCTGAAGACTTTGTGATGTTACAGGGAGACTGTGCTTAACATTTGTTTATAAAATGTTAAGAGTTCATTAACATATGATGATTCTAAAAATGTGCAAGAAAGGATGTGTTCATATTTTTTTACTGAATTGAGATGATCACGGTTACAGTTGCACATCGTAAACAGCAAGTCAACCTACAACCAAAACGTAACTCTTGCTCAGGAAGATTCTACAGGAATTGCTGTTCTAGGTTTCTTAATTGAGGTAAATAAGAAATCAGTTTAAGTTTAAATCATTCATATTTTTCACTCATTCTATCTACCATTCTTGTTTGTTTTAAAATTGTATCTTTTCATTTATTTTTTAAGGAACTCACAGGTACAACTGGCCAGCCGGCAAGCTGGAAAATCTTAACCTCACTGTTGGCTAACATCTCAGTGGCTGGTAAGATGACTTCAGCTAGTGAAACTTGATCACTGAAAGCTCCAGACAGACTCTTACATCTGTCATTTCTGTCCTCAGGACAATCAGTGGAGGTGCCAGCTGGGATTTCTCTGGACGATCTCCTGGTTGGAGTGGATCGTACCAAGTATTACCGCTACCTCGGCTCCTTGACCACCCCCAACTGTAATGAGGCTGTTATTTGGACTGTCTTCAAGGACACAATTAAAGTCAGCAAAGACCTGGTGAGTGTTTCGTTTTAAATTTAAACTCTTTTTTTATATTATTTTTTGCATTTTGTGTCATTAATCTGTCTTCGTCCCCTCTCAGATTGACCTTTTCAGCACGTCGCTGCACATCAACGACGGCTCCTCTCCTCTGATGGTTAATATCTATAGAAGCATCCAGCCTGCACAGCCAGTCTCCACACAACCCAAGTCCTCTTCCACCAGAACAGGCTTCTCCTTGGGTCTGATGGTTCTAGGCCTTGCTCTCAGGTGGATCTAAAGCACGAATCAGAGCTGAAATCCAAATGTTGCCAACACTGCTGCTCCTGTTTTGATGGCATCTGCACAGAAGGAGGATAAGTCCTCTAAACGTTGAGCCTTTATAAAACAACTCTTTAGTTTCCAGCATTATACAGTTAAAATTTGCTATTGATATGTAACTTATCCATTATCACTCAAATCAGAGGCAGTGACTAATTCACAGATTTGTGTTGTCTTATATAAAAAAAAATAAATAATGAAATAAAAATGGGAACTTCAGATGGAAACACAAACTATGAAGGTTTTTCTGCGTTTAATCTGAATAATGTAACTGAGGCCTTTTTGTGTTTATTAGTTTGTGTAATGAAGGTTAAATGCATTACTTGCAAAAAGTTGTTTGTTATAATTTATCTATTTATCTCTTGTTTTGATGTTGTGAATTATTGCACATTAAATTATATCACACCTGACAATAATCTGTGAATTTCTTTATATATGTACATGTGCATATGTATATATGCAACGCCGTATTAAACATATGGGCAACTGGGCAATTGCCCAGGGGCCCACAAACTCTAAAGGGCCCAGGCCCAGGGCAGCAAGGGCACGAGAAAAATACTGTATCTGTAATCTCCCGCTTTATATTAAACTAGGGTGACCATACCTCCTCTTTTCCCCGGATATGTCCACTTTTCACTCTCTGTCCGGGGCTTCCGGGGGGGTTCTTGTATTGATGAAAATGTCCGCAGGGATCGAATTATGGGGGAGCTGGATATCCTACACATCCAGGGGAGCCGGAAAAAAAGTTTTCTACCGATATTACATCATTTATGGACTCTTGAGCAGAGAGCACAGAGAGCGGCAGAGCGATGATCGTTGGTGCGCAGCGCTGCAGGCATCTGCGTCCAGCTCACAGTCTATTCTCAAAGTGGTGCAACCAAAAAACTATAATTAACACACGATCGTTCATGTCTGCACATGTTCTCTACTTTCTGTCTTTTTGTGCCTGAAGCGCTCTGCTGCTGCGGAGCTCATCGCATGCGCTGCGGTGATTTCACCTCACTGACGCAGCATCGAAACGCGCACTCCGCTTTGCGGTCAGGAGATCCCTTTGATCTGCTCAAAAGTAAATGATGAGGTGAAAAAGTAAGAATCCAGGCAGCAGCTTTTCTGAAGAGTTTATAGGAGATGCAGGAAGATGAGAGACACACAGAACAGGAAAACAGTTAAATAAAAACAAGAAAGCAAAACAAAGTGTTGAAAAGTAAAATGTAGGTAGATTTATCTCCACTACACGTTTTTACCAGTATAAAGCAAGTTATACACATGTAATATTTATACATCTGACACAAGACCCTCTCCTCATTGGTCAGTCCACACGAGGTGGGTCAAAGGTTACCCTGAGCGGGTTACGTGATGTCAGGCATTCAAGTATTGAGTATATTTACTGCATATTACAGTAAAATATTCTGTATGTGACCATATTATGGTGATCCTTGGGTCGTGATGATGGGGCCCTTTAATATTGTTGCCCAGGGTACAACAAAGTGTTAATTTGGCCCTGTATATATGTGTGCATATATATGTGTATATGTATATATATATGTATGTATGTGTGTGTGTGTGTATATATATATATATATATATATATATATATATATATATATATATATATATATATATATATATATATAGTGTGTGTGTGTGTGTGTGCGCGCAGCTACCCAGTCAGTTTTCTTGTCTGGCTCCTGGTCCTGGCCCAACAGTGCATCAATGGGAAAACAAGGATGGACGCCAAAGAACAAATAATTTGGGGAGTAGCCTGTAGTTGCATGTGGTGTAACATATGCATAGGGTGACCCTTACTTTCATTTCTTTTCATGCATTATTGACAGGCTCTCATTTTGAGTTTTAATCTAGCATAAAATGTGTGACAAAAGCTGCCTGTTGCTGTCCAACAAAAAAACCAAACAAAAAAAAATGTGTTTCTGTATTAAGAAGAAAAAACTGCAAAAAAAAAGTATGGATATACTTTTTCATTAGGATGCTGAATTTTATGAAAAATTAATTAAAAACAAACATTTATTTAAAATTGTGGGTCTATCTATATCATTATAATGAGCTGATTTTAGCTAAAGTTATTCAGAGCTTCTGTAGAAGGTTCAGAGAGCCTGAGTTAAGTTATGGCAACTTTTGAACTGTGAAATATTAAAGCTTTTGCTGTTTGCTTGTTTAAAGGTATTGCAGAGGATCTTTTTCTTCTCGGTGGATTATCAATGAGCATGCTCATTGCTAGGTAGTTTTCGCTTCCTGCGTTTGCGCAAAATGAAGGCTGGGCTCCCAACATGCCTCTGTCGCCAGTTTTCTGCTCGACAGATAAGCTAAAGTTCAGCATGCTATTTGAAGAAATTTATTGGAAATTACTGCTAGAAAAAGAGCTGCAAGACCAGCAGCTACTTGTAGTCAGAGCATGCACAAGGATAACAGGGCATTCTCTCCCATGCACATTTTTAAAAAACGTGGAGGGAGCGGTTCTTCCCTGAAAATCAGAAACATTCTCCGCTGTACCTGAATACTTAAATTAAAATCGTATATATAGTAATGAATATTTTTATGTATATTTAGCAGTGATGTTATAGCTAAAAGCCAGAATTGAAGTAGTTTTGTCAAGCTTTTTTACTTTATCATGTTGCATTGAAATTTTACATTGTCCAACATTGTATAGTCTCTGTCCAACATTTGGTGAGTTGGGATCTGGTCACTCTACACTCTACCAGCTCAGTGGCCTAGTGGTAGAGTGTCTGTCCTGGGACCAGGAGATCAGGATTTGAGTTGGGTCATACCAAAGACTTTAAAAATGGGACCCAATGACTCCTGCTTGACACTCAGCTTTAAGGGGGTTGGATTGGGGGGTTAAACCATCAAATAGTTCCCGAGCACAGCCACTGCCGCAGCTCACTGGGAATGGGTCAAATGCAGAGATGAATTTCACCAGTGTGTGATGATGACTTTGGGACTTTGACTTGTCCTTTATGCCTATACCGGTTCTGGCAAATGTTCAGTCCAGCGTTGTTTCTTTTCAGGTGACAAGGGTCACAGGAGGTCATGGGGTGTTCAGTGAAAGCATACACATTGTGCATTCCCCTGAGGATTATGAGGAGTGGTGTGGGTCTTCTTCACTTGCACAACTCTGAGATCACTTAAAGCCTGATTCATGCTTCTGCGTCTGCGTCAGTGTTGAGACACGCAACGCCATTATCCGTCCTTGCGGGCCTGCTGGAGAGCCCCGCAAGGACGTACGGAGTCGAGCTCTCTTTTCTAAACATCCGTTGAGACGGAGAACGCAAGCTTGTGATTGGTCAGGGCACCGCTGTCGTCTACACTGCCACCATTGCGCCCTCAAAAACAAAGAGAGCTGAGAATAACTAGTGGCAGACACGGAGAAGCTTGAAGAATACTGTAGAGAACTAAACTACACACTGGAATCAACTCTGTTGCTATTCAGTTGGAGATTCTGAAAAATGACCAATCAGATTAACCTATGAGGCTTAGATCATGTATAAGTATCCCGGATACTTATATCGATCTAAGTTCATACACCAACCTGTTTGGTCTAATATTAATCCAAGGATTAATGTTTAATTTAGATAATTAAATTTAATAGCAAAAGTTAGTTTGAATCAGAAGCTAGGATCTTTGCTTTTCAAATAACCAGAAATATTATACCTGTTCTGTGTTTCGTTTCAATAATGAGGCAAGTTTAAAAATGAAGAGATTTATTACTAACAATTTTAAACTTAAATATTTGAAATGACAATTATAAAACGACAATTCATGGATGACAATTTAATGACGATTTTTAACAGCTTTGATATTAAACTTGTTTTAAAAACAAACCTGTGGCTGGATGGAAACTAAATTGAGAATACAAGTTTGGATGCGTGGATGGAATTAGGTTTCTTTCAGAGATTTGGAAGCGTTCTGGATGGAAATGATGGTTTGCAGCTAAATGAGTTATTCACTTAGAGAAAACAGCATCAAACACATTCCCGTGTTCTACCTCACCCAAACAGGAGACCCTCTTGTGGATCCGGAGATCAGGAGGATTTGTTCATCCAAGATGACACTCGGTCCAGCAGTGGAGACGCGAGTGTCCGATCATCTGGTCCAGAAATGTCCCGGGTACACAGTTGTCAAGCGTTTGGCAGATGGACATTCTCGTCTTAACTTAACTCAGAAATTAATGACTCTGGGTAGAGTCTTCGTTAGCTGGTTACAGTTGTGTTTATTCTTAGCCATTCTGGTCGGCGTGACTGGAGCAGCAGGTGGAGGTTTTAGGGACGGCCGTTCCCTTCCTCCGTGGTGTTGGTTGAAGAACTGGCTTGAAGCTGGTGATGGTTATAGTTTTACCAAGCTCTCAGGACACTCCCACTCTCTCAGGAAGAAAGCTTTGATCATGCGTCAAAAACATGTGTTGCAGTTATAGTTTATCTGGACTCTGTGTTAGCTGGATAAGGTGAACTGACCTTCTTTGCTGAACACATCTTTTACTGTCATCAACCATAATCATAATTAATCATTATTATCCCAAAGCATAATTATTCATTTCATGTAATTAAAATACCATTATATTGAACCAAGTGATCATTTATGATGGTATTATATTAAACAGTAATAAAATCAATGAGTTTTATTAATTATTATTATGTAATTATTATCATCATGACTTGAAGTGTCCTCCTCCTGGGATGGAACAGCAGCAGCTATGGATATGATATTGAGCAGAGATCGTGGCTCCTTGGGTTAATCTGTGGATTTAAAAGTACTGTTTGACCCAGCTTGACCCAGCTGGGTAGATGTGCCCTTTGCCACAAGTTAGAGGGCCTTTGGTGATGCTACAGACCCCACTTTTGTCAATGGCAGGTGGACGCAGAAAACCACCTGTCGTTGGCAACCAAAGACTTGAAGGGACTCTATCTGAAGAAGCTGTTGCAGTCCAGGCGAAGGCCGGAGAGAGGAAAGCGTTCCCTCTTTCAGTGAAGACAGGAGCACATCCTGAGAAGTTGGTTAAGTCAAAATTGCAGATCATTGTAAAGCAATCCTCGATAAGATGGCTATTTCAATAGCAGTTAATTATCATAAGTAGTAATGCCAAAGCGTATGCAAAGGATAAAGCAGTCCATGTTTCCACACAGAGCCGAGCAGGATGCAGACAGATAACCAGCCGTCAGCGGTAGGTCCCCGGATGGCCTCCAGTCGACCCCTCAGGGCAGGCACTCAGGACGTCTCGAACCACGACCGAAGCGAAGCTCCATGCGACAGGAACACCAGGCGGGCAGGAACAGCGTAGAGGACCCTCGGATGGCGAAGTCCCCCATGGATGGAGATCCCTCAGACAGCAAAGACCAATGGTGAAGCTCATGAGTAGAAGAGCAGAGCAGCAGATATGGATATGATCTTGACCAGAC